TAAAATTACTCGCTTTCTCATTTTGTAATACATATGTGAGAATTTTTAATCTTTAAGGAATATTTAATTTTATTTATATTTTTTTAAAAAAATAAAAATGATACCCATATTTTTTATATTGCGGCTACCCCCCTATGTTAAGCATTAAAAAAAAATTTCATTATTTGGAATTTTTTTAACTCAATACTATAATTTTTGATAAGGTCTTAATTTTATTCTCAGAGCAATCATCCGATATAATAATCTATGCAATAGTCTATGTGAGATAGTATATATTCACGTCCTTTTTAAGAATTCGCAAAGTTGTTATCGAAATTGTCGAAACCGTCGAAACTTTTACGACCCATTGAAACCCATTGAAACCCATCGAAACCTATCGAAACTGTCAAAACAATTTCTGAAAAGTTTCGACTTTTGCCAAAATGGGTTTAGGGTTTTGCCTTGCAACTATATTCTTGAAACACCATGGCTTTGCACATTTTTCAATAATCAAAAGTTTCAGCTTATATAATTCATTAGCATTTGCATACAATGCAATAGAAATATGCTCTTTATTTTTTTTACGTCCAGAAAGACATTTTGTAGTTAAGGTTCAATCTGGTTTCAATCAGTAAAAAAGTTTAGTCTCATCCATATTATATATCCTCTCAAGAGGATAGTTAGCATATTTATCATGCAGTAATGGTAAAGCTTCAAGAATAGCAGTATTATCAGCAGATTCAGCTTCTCTATGAAGTTTCTCTTGATGAATTTCATTACGATCTTTAAATTTGTGAAAACAATCAGAAGAAAATTGCAATATTTCTTCTGAAACTCCTAATCTACTAGTAAACAACTTAGCCTTTTAATTAACATTGCATCACTCAATATAGTTTGTTGTTAGTAATATAGCATAAATTCTTTAAGTACTAGCTCAAGTTTTGAAATAGTAACAGATCGATATCGTTTTAATTCTGAATTGACAATTTTAGTGGTAAGTCATTTATCACTACTTTGTAAAATTCTTGTAATAGTTGATTCATTAAATTTAATCTTCTATTTATCTTTAATCTAATCTAAATATTGAGTTCAAGTTCTTTTATTATCACAGGCATAAAGACAAAATTCACGTTTTTAGGTATTGGTTAAAGTGACTTTTTTAGAAGGCATATTTGAATTTGATAATAAAGAAAACAATTTTGCTTGTCTATTTATATTTCTAATTTTTTGTCTTTTTATCCTTACTTTTAACAAATCCATAAAGTATGATAAGCTATACAATATTTTTTAATATATAATTTCCATAAGGCTATGTTTTTCTTTTTTATATGTTTGCTTTTTGATTTTGATTTTATATTAATATTATTATTACTAATATGACTATCATGTCTTTATTATTATTTTAGTTTAGGTAATAATATTTAAGAATTGTAAATACCGTAAGGTTATATTTATTTTTTAATAATAATATTCAAGTATTTGCAAGTGCTGTAAGGCTAATTTTTCGCAAATATCACAGGTATTGCAAAAATGCACAGTATTTGTATCACCACAAAAATTTGTAGTATCTATATCACAGCTATAAATAGGCTGTGTTACTGTTAATATCTGATAGTATACAATATCCGCAGTTAATAAAAGCTAAATATTTGATAAATTATTTTTTATTATTATCATTATCTATGTGATTACATATATATTGTAGATGTAATACAACATATGTTAGAGGTTAAGAATCAATATATGCAACGATATAAAAAATGATCACAATGTGAATTTATATATTAAAATATATCGAAACTCATCTAAAAACTTAAATGAATTCAAGACTTATTTATATTATTTATTCAAAAGTTAATATTAATTATTATTTTATAATGTCAAAATCCTTAAAATGATACAAATGACTGATTATTATGATATCATGACCAGTCAAATGGAGATGTTTGGTCGGCATTAGAATAATGCTGCTGGATTATAGCTTTAATAAAAATTCGTAGTCATGTGATATGCATTTAAAAAATGCATTTATCATATGAATGAACTAAAAACTTCTTATACGTGCAAAACATAAAGAATGCATTTAACATCTAAGTCCTAAGCTAAGGACTGGACCAGTGTGTGCATTTAAAGAGAGTGTGCATTTATAGAGGATGCATTTAGAGAGGTTTGACTGTATTTTAATTTTAAATATATTGATTTTAATTTTTATATTATAATTTTTTTTTATTAATTTATCTATTAAATAATATTTATTTTTTTTGTAAGTCAATTAAATCTGAATAGTATAAAATAAAATTATTATTTTTTTTTATAAATGATCAGAATTTTAAAATCTATATTAATTTAGTAATAAATTTTATTAAAAAATAATAGTATTTTTTATTTTTTTAAAAAATTTTAATATTAATTTATTAATTAATATTTATCTTATAAGTTTTAATTAAAAAATTTATAAAAGTTATATAATTAAAGTAAATTTATAGAGATAATTGTTTTAATATTTTTATAAATTTTTTAAATTGTATTATTAATAAATTTATATCAATGTTTTTTTAAAAAATATTATTAATTGTTTAAGGCTATTTTATTAATTTTTTAGCTGATTTGATTCAAACAAACAAGTTTTATTTTTAATATTAATAAAAATAAGTTCTTGATAATATTATAAATTTAATTTAAAAATAATAACTAAAAGCATTTATTATTTCTAATAATATTTTATTTCTATTAGTATAGTTACTAATATTTCATTTTAAAGATATTTTAATAAGAAAATTTTAAATAGTAGATCTCAAATAAGATTAAAAATTATGCAAGTTATGTTACGCTAGACCAAATGATGGATGGACTCTACGTGATAAATGCACCACCAGTCAAAGAATGTCAATTATTATTTATTAAATATTATTCAAACGTTTCTCGTACATATTGATTAAATAGAACAATGATTACATTTATAATTTGAATTAAGTAAATGACGGGGATATTACACATATTAATAAAAAAAGGTTAATTATCAGAAATACCAGACAGATATCCATAATGGACATTGTTAGTATTTACGAATGTCTTTCATCATAAAATATTAATCTTTTTCATGAACAATAATAATAAAAAGATAACATCAAATTTCTAAATTCATGTTGATGACGTTCTATCAAAATTAAAAAACATTTGGTATGGAGCTAAAATTAAATAGCTAATTTGTAACTGATCCTCTTCAATAGAGGACAGCGATAGTCTATATCAACGTCTTCAAAGCTTTCCAACATCTCATTATATCTCTACATATTAATATATAATTAATCGTCATGATGATGATAAGGTCCATTCGGTGAATGAAAACCGGGTGGTGAATTCGAAGAGAAAATAAAAGATTCGAGTTGATGCTTTGCAGTCTGGGGGTCTTTTGAAATACTGACCAATCAAAAAAAATAAATTTATTCTCAAGAAAATTATAATATAAATAACTTATGAATAGATTCTTACTGTGTAGTTTGTTTGAATTTAAATTCATCATTGTCACTTAAAAAATATCTGGGTCTCCAATCAATTCCTTCGGCTTCTCGAAGCTTGGCTTCATTACGTTGATTATCTTCGATCAGCGTTTTTTCTTCCGTAGCGAGATCCAGATTCCTCCCTATTAAAGCATTTGTAACTTTTGACCATAAACTACACAACAAATTTATAAATCTTAGATCCTACAATATATTTATATTTATATTTATGATTATATTGTGGAAAGATTTACCGTCGGGATTCATTTTCTTCTTGTTCTTCCTCTGGGGACACAATCTTTGGATATATCTTAGATTCGTGAACATTAAATAAAACTTCTTTAAGTCCCGTCTAACATTTTAAATCAATATAATTATTAATGTGATATAAATCATCATGAGTTATAAATTTATAATTTACCCGAAGATCCTTAATATACATAATGTCTGACCACTTTCCGGTAATTTCATATAGAGACTCTCCTGTTGATTCACGTTTTATCTTTCCGTAAATCGAATTGTACGCGCCCGTAAAGAAACCCTTATAAAATAAAATAAAATAAAATAATATAGAAATTTTATTAAGCGAGACATAATGGGATTGAATGATTATTCAAAAAATAAAAATAAAAAAATAAAATAAAAATAAATTAAATAAATTACCTTTGTCCGAAATTCTAATTCACAAACCAAATCATTCTTTTCACATTTAACCGTAGAATTATCACCTAATTCTAATACCATCCTCCCAAAAAGAATACCCCGTGCATAAACATTTGGCATTGCAATCCGATAAACTTCACCGGGACGATTAGTGAAGAAGATTTTGGATTCACCCTGCATCAAAGTTGCCGCACTATTCCCGAGGAATTTGGATTTTGGTCGTATATCTCCAGCGATAATTAAGTTATTTTCGGGGCTTGCATAATAATAAGCTGAAATTGGAGGATGATGAGAAACTTGTTCAGATACAAATAAAGCTTCTGTATTATCAGGAAATTGCCATCGTGCACGAAAGTGTTCGCCTAATACGGGGTTATAGGGTTTTTTTACACCCTGTAACGAAAAAATTGTTTATTATAAAGTTCCTTGCTCTCGAGAATTTATGAAATGATCCGTACCTTTGGTTTTATATGCCATCCAGATAAGTAATACCTCATCACATTAACAAACCGTTTAACAGGGTCTTCTTCCTTTGAGACACTATAGACAATATTTTGATATTTTAACATTGGGTGCGCAACTTGAAATTTCACCAAGCTGACCTGCTCGGTAAGGAAGTGTTCGAACGCGGTTCTGCTAGTATATAATATCTTGCAAAGCACATACCTTAAAATCAAATCAGGATGGCTCATAAAATCGGTGATCCTTTCTAACATACTCCGTGGTTCTAATACAAATGTTGGCAAGGTAACTCGATGCAAGTCCATTCCCTTGCGCAATTGCGAGATGAGTCCCTGCAAAAGGTTACGTGGTTCTTCATCAAGAACTTCTGTATCGTTGCAAAGCTCTTCGTCAGCCATTTATATAATATTAAAGTTATAGTTTTTTCAAGAAATATCTTTATCCTTTAAAACAAATGTTTAAGAACTGCGTCAGCGCCAAATTCCTTATAAATTTGATGATGTAGTATGAACACGATTGACATCGAACTTAAATATGAATTTATTTCATTCGCAGGCAGATTTATCAAATATTAATTAGTTTACAAACCTGTATAATTTTTTATATTAAAACTTTATATTAGAATCGTATAAAAAAATAAATTACATATTAAAATTAAAAAATATATTTTTTTAATAAATTCGATTCATTTTTTATTTTTTAAGATATAGAATTATTGCTAAATTATAAAACTATATATATATATATATTATATTAAATAAATACATTTAGATAAAATATTTTAAATACAACCTAAACTATTTTATAAATATCAAAAATTAAAAGTACATATAATTACAATTGTAATTGAATAAACATATTATAAATATATTTAACATATTTAATATTCTTAATATATTTAATAGTAAATATATCATTATATAAAATAATAAAAGCATATATATAGGATTTGTTATTAATAATATAGATAACTATTTTGATATATATATTTTTTTAAGTATAAATTTTAATAGCTATATGCATTTTACTTTTAGTTAGGGTTTTTCTACTTTTATAATTTAATAATTGTATAAATTCCTTTAGTTATTTATTATTATATATATCCATTTTAATTTTTATATATTTTTTAATTTAATCTGACAGCTATATGCATTTTTTTACTCTTAGATAACTAAATGCTTCTCATGTTATTTTTAATTTTTCTTATTTTTTTCTTTTATTATCTTATTTTTTTTATTTTTTATTTTATAAATTAATTATAATATTATGTAAATTCTATTAAAAAAGTATTTTAAAATTATTATAAAATATATAAAGTTTTAATAATACTTTATAATATAATTATAATTGATTAAATTATTATATAAATTTTAAAAAAATTTACCTTTAAATATAATGTTTAACCATTATATAATTTATAAAGATTACACATTTTTTAATATTACTTAATATTCTATATTTATTGTTATATTTTATAATTTATAATATAATTTTTTTATATTAAATTTAAATTTAATTTATTAAAAAAATCATATTAATAAATAAAATAAGATTAATTTTTTTTATATATATACTGATCAAAATTATCTAAATTGACTAAAATTAGATAGCTGATTTTAAGCTGATTTAAAATTACTTATAACCAATTTATTATATTTTTTAATTGATGCTGATTGATTCCAATCATACATATTTATTCAACATTAATTCAAAGTTAAATTCAATCATAAATCAGCCTAAAATATTGATTAATGTTATTTAACTTTAATCAAACAAGCAATCTAGCATTAATTAAAATTTAAATAATCATAAATCAGCTTAAAATTAGCTTTAATTCAGTATCAATTCAACAATAAATTAGTATAAAATACTATCAATCAATACTGATCAACTTCAATTAGATAAACAATTCAGTATTAATTCGTTTAAATAAATATATAAAATTAGTACATTTTAATTTAATTAAATTTATTAAATATTAAAATTTTATTAATAATAAAAACTAAATATAAATTTATAAAAAATATAATAAAAATATTAATAAAACCCATTGATTAAATTTTCAATTAAAAATAAGTAAAAAATAATATAATAATAATATAATAATAAAAATATAATCTATTTTTCTTACAAAATCATCAAAAATTATCCTAAATATAAATAAATAAATAAAATAATAAAATAATATAAAAAATTAACTTTTCTCTTTTAAAATCACTTAAAAAATGTAAAATAAATAATAAAATAATAAAAAAGTAAAAAAATCAACTTTAAAATTATCTTAAAAATATATTAATAAATAATAAAATAATAAAAATTAATTTATTTCTCTAAAATCACTAAAAAACTAATAATAAATAATAAAATAATATAAAATTAATACTTTTACCTAATATTACATAAAAAATATAATAATAAATTGTAAAAATTAAACTTTCTTTTCTGAATTTTCTAAAATTCATTAGCCATCATCTATAACAAAATCTTCTTTGTCTTCACTTTCAACAGCAATAAAATCCTTTCTGATTTCTATACATTCTTTATTTTCTATATGTATTTTTTATTATAGTAATATTTACTTTAATTTTAATATAATAAATTACGTAAGTTACATTTTATATGATTATTTTAGAATATTAATAAGATGTGATCAGTTATAACTTTGTATTATTGTTGTATTTTCATTTTCATTACATATAAGATGATAATGTAATATTAGGATTAAGTATTTTTCTGAAAAGATATTTTAGCTAAAAAAAAAAAATAAGAAAGAATATTAGTGAATTATATTAAATAATTCAAAAAATGCTAAATTAGATAAAAAAAATAATAAACTTTGACTAAATGTTATATACAATAATAATAAATTTTTGGTAATTTTTTTTATCTATTTTGTTGATTTTTAGTGAATGATATTAGTAATCATTGAGTATTTAAAGTAAAGGTCACTGTTTGTATTTCACCATTCATTTATCATTTTTCTTGAACAAATACTTTTAGTCTTTACTTGTTAAACTATTTTTAATAAATAATAATAAATTATATTTATTAAATGAGTTAAATGAAGAAATACAGTCATTTTTATTTTATTATTTCTCATTTTTATATAAGTAATTTTAATAAAAAGACTCTTTCTGAAAAATAAAAGTATTGTAAAATATAAGAAACTATAAAACTAACTAACATAATTTATAAAATATAAAAAAAATAAAGGCAAAATAATTTTTATTTTTTAAAAACTACTAAAATTTCAGGAATTAGGTAAGAAAAAGAGAAAGATTTTTCATTTTTGATTAATTTAAAATAGTAATTCAATAATCAATTAAGTTATTTTGTATTATTTATACATATATAAATTTAAAATTTTTCGATTTATAATATTTTTTTAATAAATAGCAATTTATTAAATTAAAAATTTTCAATAATATAAACTTATAATATTTGTTTTAAAATCTTTATCATTCAACAAGTTATTTTAACAATTAAAAAAGTCATAAATATTATAATAGTAATGAATATAATGCAAGCTTAAATAAAAAAAGGTTAAATAAAAAGTTTTATTTAGCAAAAAGAAAAAAAACTATAATAGTAATAATATAGAATATTTAAATATAAATAACTAAGAAATGGAAACCATTTTAAGTCTAAAGCGAAATTTTTTATTTAAAATAAATAAATTAATTTTTATTTTTGTTATTTTATTTTGTTTTTTTTTTATTTACTGATCTTATCGTACACATGGCGTAACAAATGGAAATCCTCACGTAATTATGTATGTAACCATTAATTTGTAAAAGTATAATGTCCTACGCTTCGCTCCAGACAATAATTCATAAAAATCAAATAAAAGAGAAATTGAAGATTTTATTATTAATAATTTAATATCTAAAATAAAAATTCTATGTCTTTTAATTAAGATAATATAATAAATACATTTGAATTAAAAAATTCTATATTTTTAAATCAATTTGAATAAGATAATCTAAATGATCATAATATATTTTATAAAATCATTAAATAAAAATATTTTAAAAAACAAGCTTGTGAAAATTCAAAGATACATGAAGAGAATTTATAATAGGTATAAATAATGTAATAAATGGAAGAATAGTTTTGTCGTTAAGAAGAAATCAATATGAAATAGTTTTTAAATAAATAATTGATCAGATTAAGTCTACAATCATAAAAATTATATGGTTAAATAAATATTCTTATATTAATTATTGATTATTCACAATTTAAAGAGCTTTTATATAATCTTTTACATTTTTTAAATTATTTTTGACAAAATCAATAAGAATTATATTTTGAATATAATAATTATTCTATTTTTTCATTAACTAATTATTGTAATTATATATTATTAGTCTATCTATTAAAATCTTAAGATTTACAATGAATCACTTATCAATATGTCTTAGAAGTAATTCGCTATCAATGATCTTTAAATTGATTACTCTATTATGTGAAATTACTAGTGTAAAATAAGGATTAACCAAAATTGTAATTATATAAGCTACTCAAGATGTGTTAATAGTATTAGTTTATTTTTGAATGTGAATATTGTAATAATCGTTGATATTCAATATAAAACTATTTTTTGAATATTTTTTAAGAGAGTTTTCAATAGAGTTCTGGACGAGTCGAGTCAACTCACGAGTCAGATAAGCCGAGTCGAGTTCAAATCAAGTCGAGTTTATGTTTTTTTGACTCGATGATTTGCGAGTCAAGCCAAATTCGAGTCGAGTTAAATATTTAACTCGA